CATGGTATGTATACTCAATATCCTTCACTAACACCATAATTCAATGACAAATTCTTTTTCTGTTGTCCAACTTTTCCATGCATATGAGATGATTGAAAATACAGTGGCTTCTGTCAGGCACATCTCAGTCTTCAAAGTGATATCTTTGCATTTTAATACTTTAAAAAGATTGTTTGCAGAAGATTTGCTGTTTCCATAGGCATTGATTGTGGATCCAGGTAGAATGAAATCCTTAGCAATATCAGTCTTTTCTATATTTATCACGATGTTGCTTATGGGTCCAGTTGTGAGGTTATTTGTTTTATTCATGCTGAAGGCCGGAGTCTTTGATCTTTTTTATTAAGTGATTTAAGTCCTCTTTGGTTTCACAACAACAACAATCCCTTTGTTAAGTTTGAACACTTACCTCTGGATGTATACACAGGTTTCAGATAAACAGAATTAAGTGTTCTAGAATTCCTGTTCTTCGCACTGTTATCCATAATTTGTTATGACTCACACAGTTGAAGAATGCCTTTGCATGGTCAGTGTTGTTAAGTGCCATTGACTCTGCACTTAGCAACCTTGAATAGGGTTTCCAAGGAGTGGCTGGTAAGCTTTGAACTGCCGACCTTGATGTTAAAACCCATCTTGCAGCATAAACTGACCTTGCAGTAACACACAGAACTACACCAGGACTCCATAGACAGAGGTAAACATCATTCTAGTATTTGTTGTTGGTTAGGTGCCATCAAGTCAGTTCTGACTCATAGAGTCTTATGCACAATTGAATGAAACACTGCCAGGTACTGCGCCATCCTCACAATTGTTACTGTTGAGCCTGTTACTGCTGCCACTGTGCAAATCCATCTTGTTGGGGGTATTCTTCTGTTTTGCTGTTCTACTCTACCAAGCATGAGTTATCTAGTATTTATAGGTAAATTACTAATATTGTTATTTCGAAAGGAAAATTTTGGGTAGTAACTGTTTCTGTAGCAATCTTTGAGAGTGACATAGTTCTGGAGCTTACTGAAGAAAGCACATTGTTACCCAGACATACTACTGTTCAGTGGCAGTTGTTGGTGTATCTGAATTTTCTTCCTCTTTGATAACCTCTCAGTCTTCTTTGTTTATTCTTTTGCTTATTTACAAGCATTATTAGTTGCTAAGTTATTGGATGATAATGTCTTTTGAATTTGTTTACTTGTATTTACATACTGATGTATTTATTTCCTAATATAAATTCTGTAGGTTTCTGAAGAACAGAACAAGCTTTGCAGAGTGCTTTGGGTTGTGTAGTGGCCTGCGGGAAGCTGCTGGCTGCTCTTCATTACAGTACACTGAGCTTCAGAAGTTGAGAGAGCAGGAAGCTTCAAGTACCCTGAGTTTAAGTTGGTTTTTAAGCAAGGCCAACAACTTGACCACTGTTTCTGCCAATTCTCTGACCTTAGACATTTGAATCTTATGAACTACTTTGCTGGTAGCTATATATTTATTTTTTAATTAATGGTTCCACATGGTAAGGGTTAATGATATTGTTGTTAGTTGCCATTGAGTTGATTTCAACACATAGAAACCTCTTATGAAAGAAGACCCCCAAAGGGTTTTCTTGGTTGTTTTATTGACAGAAGCAGATTATGACCTTTTTCTCCCACAGAATTGCTGGGTGGGTTTGAACCACAAACCTTTTAGTACCTAAGCCCTTAAAACCATTGTGTCATTATTCTCATTGATTTGATTCCCACTCATAGTGATTCTGTAGGACAGAGTACAACTGCCCCAGAGGATTTCCAAGGCTATAATTTAAAAAAAAAATGTTTTATTGTGAATTATGTGATAGTTTTTACATGGGAGAACATTAGCTTTACATTCATCTTATCATATATCGTTTCATTGCCATGGTTACAATCCCCTCCATGCATCATCAACCAACCTAATGGTATACCCTGCGAGCCTGCCCCCTAGTTGTGAGCACACAGCCCCTCTCTGGGTCTAGAGTGTCCAGCTGCTCCATCTCTCCATGTCATCATCTCTACCTCCATCTCCAGCATCACTGTTTCTTTGGGTAGGGTCCTGCACTCTACTCCTCTCCCCCCCGATGGTCTCAGGGCCCTCCGCTCCTGGACTGCAAAGTCAACCACTCCCCACCTTTTGCTACAAAAGGTTTACCTTTACATTTCCAACCCTCACAGTCAGTCCTGATAGTAATTATTCACTGTTGTACCACATGAGTGTTACCCACATCTCCTTTCATCAGTCCCACCCAGACAGATTGGATACTACTCAGCGGAGATTCTACCTTCCTCTGCCCCTTCTGGATCTGGGGTCCCTCTTGAAAGCTTGTAAGCCAGTCACTTCTTGCCTTTGTAGCCCCTCCCATTTTGGGTAGCCAATGCCCAAGTTGCCCATCCCTGTTTACCCTGTGTATTGTGGGGGTGGGAATGATCCTCACTATAAAGATCAGTTTCCTCCTTTGAGCTACTGCATCCATAGGTATAGGTCAAGTTCATCAAATTGTATCAGATTACTCCTTTTTTCCTCTTCTTTCTTCTTCTAGTTGAGCTCTGATCACCCAGCCTTTGAAGTCAGGTCAAGTGGGCATTACCTGCAAGTGTGGGTGTTCTTGTGTATATGCCCTCTCTTCTTATCAGCTGGATGCTTCATTCTCCACACTAGTCCTCTGTGGCTATGTCACTGACTCTGGGCCCAGGAGTCTCCAGGTCTTGCCACACTGCTGGCCAACCAGGTTTCCACCTGGGTTAATAGGTGTGTGTTGACTGTGGTCATTGCTGTTTTTCCCTCACTTCCCCTTATTGGTGACAAACGTGGTCACCAGTCAGAGCACATGTCTGCTCGTATATTCCCATTGAGTCTCAGTCTTGGAAGGGGGTTTGCCCTGAGGGGACCCAACCACTTGCCTTGATGTCTCCTGGGCAAGCAACTTGCTTGTTCTTGTAGTAATCAGTCAGACTGCCGTTATTGTTTTGTATTTTTCGTTTTGGTCTTTCTTTCAAGAAGTATCTTCTGTTCTTCTAGTCGCTCCAGGCTGATCTGCTTGTCCTTTCAAGTGGAAATTTCCCACCTCAGAAGATTCTGGATGGGGTTAAGGATTCCACCTATGGTCTTATTTAATGCAGAGGCTCAGGAAGCCTTCTTCACTGGGCACATTGTAGCCCCATTTTAGATATTCCAATCAGTTATAGACAGAAGATGGCCTTACAAGCTTTCTATGGTAATATTTCTGGCTATTCCTTTCTCTCCCCTTCAAGTGTCTATTTTATAATGGTATGCAAGGGAAACCAAGATTCAAAAGACATCCAAGCATCCTAACATTATTTCTCCCCTTTTCCCCATTCCAACCATGTCTCAATCCCTGTATCCCACAGCCCTGTTGTTCCAAGGTTGTGCATACATCATTCTTTACCTCTGTCCCACTTAGCCCATGCAAACCTGCCTAATTGTTTTCCCATCCGTCTTGTTCTTCCATTCCCCTCCTTCTTCTTGTGTATTGTCCCCCCTTCCTAGCACCCAAACTATACTGTGTCTAGTCCCTTCCCTGTTCTCCACCTTCTTCTCCCTCCCCTCACCACACCCTCCACATTCCTGTAACCAGCAAAGAATCCCCCTCCCCGCCTTTAGTATGGGTTATTTTTCTTAGTCTTTTACAGTAGTGGTCCTATGCAGTATTTCTCCTTTTGTGACTAATTTCACTCAACATAATGTCCTCAAGGTTAATCCATGTTATGTGATGGCTTGCAGCTTTCTTCAAGGTAGCATAATATTCCATTTTGTCTATGTACCACAGTTTGTTTATCCATTCTTCAGTTGATGGGCATTTAGGCTATCTCCATCTTTTTGCTATTGTAAATAGTGCTGCTATGAACATTGGTGTGCATATATCTACTTGTGTTATGTCTCGTATTTCTGTGGGTAAATACCAAGTAGAGGAATTTCTGGACCATAAGGTATTTCTATTTCCAACCTTCTGAGGCGTGACTGCCCTAAATTTCCCATGTGTAGCTGCTGCTGGGTTCAAGCCTCTGTTCAGTTAGCAGTTCAGCGCTTAACCCTTGCACTAACCACCAGGGCACTTTAGAGTTAATAATACACTTACCAACCATCTTATTATCTGACATTTTAACAATTACAAGAATAGTAAAAAGTCTACTTGTAGCTCTTTTGAACATAAACAACGTACGTGTCAGTGTAGTAAATTCTTAACTATCAAGAACTGGCTGTAATAGTTAAGGTAATATGTCTGTTTGGCCGGGCCATGTTCTCAGTGGTTTGACAGTTACATAACGATAGAATTTTGCAGTTACACAATGATGACATTTGACAGTTACATAATGATATATTCATCTTCCATGTTGGGTGGGATCTGATGTCATCTCCATTTGGAACCTAGCCATGTCCATAAGAGTGAGGGTTGGCTGTCCACTTACAAATGTGTATCTTCCACCCAGCAATATACTTGAATTATTTGTATCTTGGGCATGAGGTAATTTCTTTCTCAAAACTGCTAAAGCACTCGGCATCACAATTTTTATGTAGTAGTGAGGTTGGTAATTTAGTTTCAAAATTAGTACCTTCCCAGATTATCAGAGATGTTAATTTGATAGCAGTTTATCTTTTTTTTTTTTTTGATAGTTGACAGTTTTTTTGTGGTTGTTTTTAGAATAATTTTCACTGGTCTCTACAGGTCGTGGACTGACACGGTTAAGATCCATAGATTTGAAGGTACCATGCGCTGCCCCTAGTGTGCGTTTCTCGCCATCTTGACAGGTGGGGGCTGTTAGATTTACGTCTGCCTCTGATATGGGTCTTGAAGCTGTCACGGCTTCCCCCGTTGACATGGCTCAGCTAGGTTTATGGGGTTGAGGGTAGTGGACTGATTCTGCGACCCCTCTTACAGAACACAGAGAGCCGCTAGCTTCATGAAGGGATGCAGGGATCTAGTCATAGCCTTAGCAATCTCTAACTAGGGTAGGCATCAAAGTTTAATTTGTTTCTGTTTCTAGGTTCTATAGGAAGCTGTGAATTGGAAGAGGATGACTTTTCTTCTAATGATGAAGCAATAGAAGCTGACAATGAGGAGGATGTTGAACCTTGTGACAAAGAAAAAGAAAATGCTGTTGAATCTAGTGTTGGGACAAATACAGGCTGGGCTGATGCCATGGCTAAAATTCTTAACAAAAAAACTCCTAAAAGTAAACCCACCATTCTGATCAAAAGCAAAGAGCTGGAAAAGGAGAAAGAAAAGTTAAAGCAAGAGAGACTAGAGAAGAGAAAACAGGTGTGTCTTAACAATCGTCTTTCAGATTAGATTGTTTGTCCTGTTGAGTTCTTATCTGTACCAAATTGTTCTTTGCAATGTTTATCCAATGAACATTCCAGTTTTAAACTTGCTTTTTATGTGAGGGTAGCTAACCAAGGTTTTGTTGTGTTGTGAAGTGCCTTTGAGTCAATTCCGATAATCTAAATTGCTCAGTTGAACATGCTTACTTCTAATCAAAGTAAAAAAAAAGTATAAACTCCAAGAAAATTTATTATTTTAAAATTAAGTAATTATAAATGTGACATTGACTTCTGAGTCTAAATATTTTATTCTAGTTTATTTTCTATGTACTGACTTTATTAGATCCTAAACTAATCTTTGTATTTGAATATGCTTTATAGGAAGCATGTTTGTTACTTTTTGGTTGAAAGTCTATTTTTTACTATAAAGGAGCTTTGGTGGCTAAGTGATTAAGTGCTCAGCTGCTAAACAAAAGGCCAGTTATTTGAAGCCACCAGCTGTTCCATGGGAACCATGCTTCTATATAAATATTACAGCCTTGGAAACCCTATGGGTCACTTTTACTTTGTCCTGTAGGGTTAACTCTGAATCATAAATCTATGAAGATGTCACAAGTCAGAGATGGTTGCTGTCTGTAAACTGATTATTTTCCTGCTGTTTAAAGTGCCGTTGAATTGGTTCCTACTCATAGTGACCCTGTATAGGGTTTCCGAGGAGTGGCTGGTGAGTTTGAACTGCCAGCCTTAAACGGACCCTGTAGTCTAGTGTTTATCCTACAGTGCCACAGGATATTTTAATGCATTATACCTTTTATCCCACCAGTGATGATAGAAGTGTGACTAGTATAATCTGTTCATTAAAGCTCAAATTAGACATGAGTTTGCTGTTGTGTATTATAAGCATTAAGAAATTATGATACGGTACAAGTATACCCATTATACTTTATGAAGTTTGTTGTTATTGTTAAGTACCGTGGAGTCGGTTCTGACTCATAGCGACCCTTGTACAGGGTTTCTGACGCTGTAAATCTTTACAGGAGCAGAAAGCCTCATCTTTCTCCCACAGAACAGCTGGTAGTTTCAAACTGCTAACCTTGAGGTTGGCAGCCTGATTTATGGCTAAATACTTACTTACTGAAATAACTATTATTTTCTAATGGAAGAAAAATAATTTTCTATAACTGTACTGGCAATATGAAACCAAACAGAGTATCATCAGTTCCAACTTATCAACCCTATATAGGGTTTCTGAGACTGTAAGTCTTTACTCGAGCAGACAGCCTCACCTTTCTTCCATGGAGCCCTTGGTAGGTTTGAACTGCCAACCTAACCCACAGTGCCACCAGCACTCCTTATTGGCAATATATTTTTTGGTAAGTGCTGTTGAGTCAATTCTGACTCAGTGAGACCATTATAGGGTTTCAGAGGAGTGGCTGGTGGGTTTGAACCACTGACCTTGTGATTAGCAGTCCAGTGAGTATCTTGCAGGTCCACACCGTCAGGTCTACTGGCAATATAGCTATAAGTGCTAATTTCTAAGAGTGACCTTATAAGAGTACCTGGGTAGTGTAAATGGTTAATGCTCCACTGCTAACCATAGGTTGGAGGTTGAAGACATTTAGAAGTGCCTGGTAAGAAAGACCTGGTTATCTACTTCTGAAAAATCAGCCACTGAAAACCCTGTAGACACAATTGTACTCTGACACACATGGGGTCACTTTGATTGAGATTGATTTGAGGGCACCTGGTTTGTTTACTTTATAAGTAAATAGAAGAAAAATTGACCTATATTTTCTTGTACATTTACCACCCCCTTAACATTATTCAAAGATGAATGTTTCTTTATTCTCATATTGGTTGTTATATGTAAAAGGCTATATGAAGGTGGAGTTTTGCAAGCATTGCCCTTGGAAACAGAATGTACTCTATTAATTCAGCATTCTCATTGTACTTGAAGATAAATTTTGTCTCTAAATTTTACTGATAGCTTTTTGACTGAAAATTGGCTCTGTTTATTATCTGGCAAAAGTTAGAGGAGGCTTTAAAAAAGAATCAGAATCCTTAACTACCCATAGTCCTACTATTCCAGTGTGGAAAACATTTTGAAGCTGAAAGGAACGCGTCTCTAACTGCTGTAGGCCACAGCTGCTCCCTCTCTCCATGTCCCCATCTCTGCTTCCATCTCTGGGGTCGCAGCTCTTTGGATAAGGTCCCGCATTCC